CCAGATGTATCCAAGCCCAGAGAAGTGTATGGCACTTCTGGATACTGTTAACATAGGGCTTCCTTTTAGCATAGTACAGTTTTCACTGGCATTTCTAATGTATCTACATATTGTGTTTCTTGACAAAGGTTTGACAAAGTAGTTTTGAGCCTATGTGGCGATATCGCTTATAGATGATTGATGATTCTTGATGCAGTGCTGCCTGGGGGATTAGAAATCATGGTTGTTCAGCTTATGCTTGCGCTTTTGTCCTTTAAGCTCTAAAATTCCTCAAGATGCCTTGAATCTTTTAACTACAGTATGTTATGCACTGTTGAAGGTGAAACATCCAAATGTCTTCCTCTCTTTCTTTGAGGAACATTATTTTTAAGCATTTCAATTATTTTCTCATGTATTTGTTGGCAAACTGGTGATCATTGGCCCATCTTTGCTCTTAAAGGACTAGACCTTTTTTGGACACTGCTTTTGTACCAAATCATAATTACAATTAGCTGTTGACATCACCTGTTTCAAATCACATCATTATTTAACCAGTTTACTTGATTATAGCCCTAAACTGCTTCTGTCCCACCATTATTTGGAATGTGTTGCAGGTTTAAGTGACAGGAAAGGATGTATATTTACCAATGAAATGAAGTTTACTAGACAAAACTTCAAATATACTTTCTTATTTTTTTTGTGTTTTTTCAAACTGACTCAACTTTTCTGATCTGGAGTTGTAACGGATATAATTGTGTAATCAAACTGTTTTGCATCAAAATATATTGGTTATATTCAATAATATATGAATGGAAAGCTGAATACAAGTTATCTTACAAATTAACTAACATATTATGTACTGTCATCATGGCAAAAACTAAATAATTTAAAGCTAATATGTGTAAAGGGAACATCTCTCCCTTAAAAAACACTTGGGAAATATTCAACATTTTCAGGAGGGCTAATAATGGCTTAATAATGGCTTTTCTTTTTGGTGGAGTTATTCAGTCTGGTCTTGCTTGCAGTTCAAGTGTAGCTGATGTTAGTCCTGCCAACATTGCTTTTACGGTGAGAAGTTCAATTGATCAATCTCTTGACTTTGATTTATCTCAGGACAAGGAGAAGATGAGAGTACAAAAAAGGCTCTTGTGAAATTAAAGAATTACTTTGGGAGATTAAGAAAAATGAAGTACACCGAGTAGGAAAGTGGTGAAAAACAATGTTCAGCTTGATCCATGATTGAGTCTAATTAATCTACTCATAAAATATTAATTTCTCAATGCCTGGCAACAAAAAGTGTCTTGCTTGTCTTCAACAGCTTGCAAATGTTCTCTAACCTAGTTACTACCCACTCATGGGTAAACACATAAACACAGACAGACCTCCCACAAGACAACAGACCTGATAGATGTGTGCATCCTTATGCAAATCAAACATTTCCTTCTTCCTGTGGCACTGCAATTTGATACATGGAAACAATTTACTGCTACTGGTGTTGACTCCTGAAATGAATGCTAATTCTTTCTTCATAAACTATACCATTAATATTGTTAAAAAGGTAAGAAAAATGTAATGCAATACATTACTTTTTTATTAAAAACTAACTAGTTCCCACATTTATTTAAGTATTTTCTTGACTTTTCCAAACCACGGTATACCTTGAAAACAGTTATCATTCCATGCCTACTCGTAAGGATTCAAAGGATTGTAGTACATCTACATTTAGATTTCTCGAAATGGGCCTCTTTAAAGGGATGAAAAAAAAATCATAATTTTACGTAAATTAGGGGTTTCTGAGAAAACCCGTAAAATTCATTCATTCATTTTCTTGTCAGCTTAGTCCCTTTATTAATCCGGGGTCGCCACAGAGGAACGAACCGACAACTTATCCAGCAAGTTTTTTTACACAGCGGATGCCCTTTCAGCCGCAATCAATCTCTGGGAAACATCCACACACACATTTATATACTATGGACAATTTAGCCTACCCAATTTACCTGTACCACATGTCTTTGGTGGGGGAAACCGGAGCACCCAGAGGAAGCCCACGCGAAGGCAGGGAGAACAGGCAAACTCCACACAGAAACGCCAACTGAGCCAAGGTTCGA